TATAAAAATTGTACAAAACTATTCAGGAGACGTACAAGGGGAGATGATGCATCCTTAATAGCAGGATTTTAGCATCAAATAAAAGAACTTAGAGAGTAGAATGCGAAAATCATAGTGGTGAGTATGCAAGATTCGGCTCCCGCCGAATATGACTTTCCTGCTTGTTGCAGAATAATTTTGGAATTTTGACCCCTCGCCCTTCGGTAATGGGTATAAAAACAGGGAAATTTATAAGCTTTCTATTAAATAACTGCTAATTAACAGCGCCACTACTCTTATTGGAAAGGGACATAATTTGTTGTTTTTTATGACGGGGCCAACAGGAAAATAATAAAATCTTTGACAAGTAAATTAAGTTCGCTAAATTTACAGCATGTTGTCATTTGAGTCTACTTCAACAACCGGACTTCTATTAAAATTATGCATCTGCATAAAAATTATGTGTAATTTCTGATGTATCATAAACTAAGCTCGCAGTTGTACGGTCTCTAATTGTTGACGTTGCCCCCACTATCGCTTTCTTACTTGTTTAATCAATAAATTTATTTAAAGCAGATATGAATTTTTTAATCATGCATAATTTTAATGTTTTTAAAATACTTTTTACAGATATGCATTTTACGTATATTTGTGTACTTTTTTTATATTCTCTAGTATTGTTACCATTTCTATGATTGAACTTCTCGAAAAAACTTGGTCTACATATTTCTTACCCAATTCAAAGTAATAAAATCTCGGAGATTTTTGGATTTGCTTTTATCGGAGCGCCTACATATGCTGCGATCGAAAAAATAGATCTATGGGATACAAATTTAATAAAGATAAATTTTCATCATAAAATACTAAATATTAGAACTTTTTAACCTGAAAGCCTTATTTATCATTTAAAACCTTATGAGAATTTGGATGCAAATAATAAACGCACATGATCCAAATTCGGTACAGTCAATATTTCATCATGAAGTATTACGGCCTTTTTACCACAAAAAGACTCGATTTCCGTAGCAAGGGGTTTGAAATACTGCCCCGTCCAATCCAGACGGGTTGGCCACTTTTCACAGCAGTTTAGAAAATCGAAACACTACTACTGAAAATTACAATACTTGCAACAAGCTTAGATCGAATCAAAACCTGAATGAATACGCCTACTTTAGTAGCAATACTTATGTGCGCTTTTGCGCGCGTTTAACGGACGTCTTGGCAACAAAAATAATAAGAACGGAAGAGCAAGCAGACATTTGGTTTACATTATTAAGTATTAAATAACTTTGTTAAAAATATAACCAGTGTTTTATGAGTTACTCACACTTTTCACCTAAGAAAAGCGTTTTTGACGAGACTTTCGAGACATTTCCATTTTCGAGTTTGGTCAAGGAGACGGACAAAAGAAAGAAGCAAAACAAAGCGAAAAATGAAAAAGATGGTGGATGACCGGTGGTGTAATTTTTGAGAAGAGAAGTGAAAATTTGCTGAAATAGAAGTGAGAAAGAAATTTTTCCAAAAATAATTGAGCATAAAAACAGGCTTTAAAATTCGCGTATACATGGGAGTTGCAAAATTCAAAGTGCGTTTAATTGTGTGATCTAAGCAAAGGAAAAAAAAGAGGTTTCAGATGTAGAAGAAAAGTTGGTTGCTGCATTTCATTCTGCCCGGTTCTAAACATTTTACTTTTTTATTTACATTTTAAAATTCGCGCATATTAAGTTGAAAAACAAAAAAGAATAAATAAATATAATGAAATACCACAACCAAATTATCTAATATTTTCTTAGTTCATTATAAATGAATTGGAGTAATCTTACTCAGAGATTAAACAAATATTTTCTTCTCTATATTTTTATTATTTACTAGAGTTCATTATATCATTTTTTTTATGAAAATATTATAGTAAATATGCTAACCTTTTGTTAACGCGCTTTATATATTACAATCAACATTCCTTTTTTCAAAATTACTTTTGGAATATAAAGATTAAATTTAAATAAATTTGGTTATTTTGTAAGAGGAAAGTAGTTCAGGGGTCTTCGAACCCAACTTCGAGGTCGCTCATAGAAATCTTGGGCCGAAGGGCACCATTAGCTGAGGTAGGATAGAGAATGGCCTTGAACTGAAAATATGCCTATTCGATGAGATAAGTTTCATCCGTCCGTCCATTCAGCTAGAGGTTAATTACGTGCTATTCGTTACTTGGAACCTTTTGGGTATTGTCCGAATAACAAGATATAAAACCCCCATCTCCACAGAGGTTCTAATTATATATGCAGCCCTTGGATTTTCAGACGAACACATGTTAAAGATTGCTAATTAACGGCGCGAATAGTTATTTAGTTGCGTTTAATGTTGCCAAGTGAAAAATTTACCTTCTTCACGGCGCGTGTCTTTACTACACCAAAGCCGCCAATTTTCTCGACGTAAACTATTGGTAATTGTCGTAACTTATGAGAAGAGAAAACTATTCAAAAGTTTTTTGACACTATTAAGCTTTAAGAATTATTTTTTAATTAAAGTAGCAATTAAGCAAAATAGAAGGCAAATTATTTGCTTCCAGGAGTTTTAATACATTACATTTTCCAAAAAGTTTCATAACATATGCGTATACATGTCTAGCTAGTGTGCTTAGTGTGGTGAAAATAAAAGCTTTTAATTAAATAAAAAAATTTGTAGCCATTTAAGGAGAAGCAAATGAGCGAACTTCGAATTTTGTTACTTTATAGGAGAAGTAAATGAGCGAACTTCGAATTTTGTTACTTTATAGGAGAAGTAAATGACATGGAAAATCCCCAAGCAACCGCAACTAAACAAAAAAGTTTCAAAATGAATTTAATTAAAATGAACAAAATTTAATCTACGCACAGTAAACTCAAGTTGATTTTACTGACGTTGCTAATATTTGGTTCGGAGATCAATAATATAAAAAAAATTAAACTAAAGCTAAAAAAAGCTTTCTTTTCAATATATGCCGCTGATTGAAGGAATTGCTCTAACACTTTTTAATAAACACTAACAATAGTAGCTATAGGGTTTATGTCTGTCATGTCAACCAATTGACAATAAAATATATGCCCGTTCTCTTATGTTGTTCCTTACTTCGTTCAATGCTGTTTTTTGAGAAAAAATAGATAAATATTTATATTAAAAAATTTAACACGTACAAGGGCAATAAGCAGTGAGCAATAAGTCTCATCACAACTAAATGCAAAAGTTTTGTGCACACGGCTACAAAAGCAAACAGCTCGGTTATTTACGAAATCATTAAGAAAGTGCTTGTTGTCTCGGCGTACTGAAATATAGAAATATTTAATATAATCCAGTAAAATCAAAATTCTTAATAAGTTTTAAAAGGGATTAATCAATAAATATCAAATGCGTTTAAACTCTATTGTACCAGATTTTAAAGCCGATTCGACCAAGGGTCCTATTGAGTTCTATGACTGGCAAGGAGATTCGTAAGTATACATCGATGTAGACTTGACAATCGAGTGAATGAGTACGTGTTCGAAACAAAAATACGATTTTAAACATTTAGCAACCAAAGCTATCAACAAAAATCTAGTCTAAGCTGAGAATAAACCGCTGCTGCAAATTTATCTCAAGTAGTTTTGTTTGGTGATCTAAAGACAAATTTTAAAGCTGTACGATTCATATCAAGGCAGGCTAGCAATCCGGGAAATTATAAACAAGTTGTGATCCAGATAAGATAAGGCCAAAGTGAATAAAAGTACTAATTTCAATAAAAAAAAAATTATATATTCTTTAGAAGTTATTGAGAGATGGAAAGTTTTATTCTCATAATTCAGTACAACGTCTAACTGTATTCATATTAAATAAGACAGTGTTTTGCTTTCGTATCTTTTGTTATTGTTAGAAAGCAACCTGCAGGCAACGCCCATTCTTGACTCACGAGAATATTTAAAATGTTTGAAAATTCAAAGTACTAGAGTCTATGTAAGAGATTAATTAATATACTTTAATTTAACACTATAAAAAACGTTAACAAAACTAATCTCTCTTTCTATACAAATATAATATATATATAGATATATCTCTATGGAAGAATAAAAATATAAAAAAAGTTATTACTCGCAATACATATTGGCTCCCACAACACAAAGTTCATGTAAATTAAGTAAGAGTCCGAATTCGGAAATTAGAAATTTGTTGCAAAAATATACTCGTGCGTTTGTCCGTCCTTCACAAGGCGCAGAAATGGTTGGCAGGAAATTTTCCAAAAGTATGTACAAGTAAAAACTTAACCTAAAAATCCGTCTATTTATGGTTTTGTAAAATGTCTAATTTTCAATATTTCATAGTTCGTAATGGCAAATTGAAAAATAAATCAAGCTTACCGAATTTTGACCACTTGGGTCCACTTTTGGTTTGCACCGTATATAAGATGGGAATATAAACCCTTATGTGCCAAAGAAACCTAATTTTTATTATTGTATGATGAACATTTTTTCATGCTTTGCTACTTTGATATAAAAATTAAGTGGACCAAATTTAAGTGACATAAACCTGCCTCTTGGAGCTTACTCCATATAAGATTTGTCATGAACAGTAAACCCTTCAGAAAAAGGTTTAATTTTTAATGATTTATTATGAGAATTGGTCCGCAGAGGCAAAATAATCAAAGAAATGAACAGTAGGAATTTGGATCACTTAGGTCTATTTTCTAGACCCTAACAAACGAAAAGATTATCATGAAAAACCTGTCCTTATATGAAGAGTAAATATAATTTCCCTTTTTTACGGCGAGATCTGAAAGATATCAAAATTTTTGGAAAGTATACTAAGTTTGCTAAATTTGGACCACGTCATATGATATTTTGGGCAAGCTCCAATATGCAGGCTTACTTGAAAGGTACGCCTTTGCATGAAAATAATGTGTAAATTTTGATGTATTATTGCCAAAATGAGCAAATAATTGTGTTAGGGCATTGAACGGCGGCCTTGCCCGACTATAATGTTCTTATTTGTTTATATGTACAATACATATATGCACATACGTATGTGCAAGGATTGAGCTTTGTTGACGTGCCTTGCCAATGATTTGGAAATAACCAATGTAAAAAAAATTTCAAATTCAAGTCTCGAACAAATTATTGTAAAAATTGTTGCATTCTCTTGTTGCATTGTGTATTGTATTGTGTGCATTTTTGTCATCGTAATTATACTGTTGTTGTTGTTGTTCTTGCTGCTTTTTTTCTCGCTCCTTCTGCAAACGTTCACGTATTGCCTTAACTTTCTCAAATATGATATCATCTTCAATTTCATCAGAATCTTCATTTTCTTCATTCATGTCTTCACTGTCTTCGCGTCCTTGCTCCTCCTTATCTTGGTCTTGGGAATCGCTAAGTGTTATTAAATCTAAGCTTTGCAATGTTTGCCAATTTATTGATTCAATAGTGTCGTCTGTAAGTGCTGTTGTCTGCGTTGTCGATATAATTATTGTGTGTTACATGTCGTTATTATTAGGTCGTAGCAGAAATTAATAAGGAATTAATTTTTCCAGTATATTTCTGGAATTTCAAGCAAACTTATCACGACAAAATATTAGATATTGGTAATAGAAAGTTATTTACTTTTTCAGCTGGGTTCTACTATTTTCTCATCCAAGTGATTTTACTCCTGTTTGCACAACTGAATTGGGTCGCATAGCTGTAAACGCTACTCAATTTGCTAAACGAAATACCAAGTGCTTAGCTCATTCAGTTGACGATACACAGTCTCATATTAACTGGGTTAATGATATCAAATCTTATTGCGCAGATATACGTGGAGAATTTCCATTTCCTATTCTAGCTGACCCCAATCGCCAACTAGCTATTACTCTTGGCATGATAGATGAGGAAAAACGTGAAGATATAGAAAGTGCCAAAACAGTTCGGGCGTTGTTTATCATTAGCCCCGATCATAGGGTACGTCTATCTATGTTTTATCCTATGACCACAGGTCGTAATGTGAAGTAAGTTTTTAAAAGAGTTCAAAACTTTCAGTCAATTTGTACAATCTTTTTTTATTTCAGTGAAATTTTACGATGCATCGATTCTTTGCAATTAACCGATCGTCTTAAGACAGTGGCAACGCCAGCCAATTGGATGGTAAAAAAATTATATTATGGTTAGAAAAGATATTTCATATGTTTTCCTTCTTTTTTCTGAAATATTAAAGCCTGGTAGCAAGGTTATGATTTTGCCCTCTGTAACCGATGAAGAAGCTGCTAAACTCTTTCCTAAAGGTTTCGACAAAACTTCAATGCCATCCGGTGGCAACTATGTTAGAACTACGGAAAATTATTAACATTACTTAGCGCACTTAGTGAAGTCCGCTTGATTAATATATAAACATGTCTTAAAAATGTAAATCCGAAAATATAATCACTTCCAGTTTTTCTATAAATATATGTTTGTTGGAAAATATTTTCTTTAACAAGTTTTCTGTGGCTTTAGAACTCAATACACCTCAATATACCTTTAGTATATTAGCACTATGCATTCATTATGCTTCGATAAGATTCCTGGCATAGTGCCAAAACCCTTGAAAAACAAACGTAGATTAAAGCATGATTCGTTTAATTTTGCTAATATAAAATTTAGAAAGTGCCGGCCGAAATGTATGAAAATATATTTGCTTGCTGTTTGTTTAATCCGTTTTTTTTAAATGTCTGCCTCAATGGAATTTAGCTACCGGCTCATCATCAAAGACCAACCAAGTATTGGTTACATTAACTGCCCACGGATCTCCCAGCCCATTAGCCTCCGGGTCGAATTTACGTACACTCTTTTACGTTTTACTATAGCATTATCGCTGCGCTGCACTAATATTTTGCGCGATTTTGTATCTTGGGAACAAATAATTTTATCTAAAGTGAAGTGAATTGTTAGCCAACAGTCGCGCGACTAACGTATCTGCACTCATTTAAACCATAATACATTCTAGGAGATTTTTTGTACTTTTAGGCATCCTTTTGTTGAAATATTCTTCAAGTATCTGCATCAATCATTTTTTATGACTATAGCATACATTTTCAGCTAAAGTTTGCAACACTATTTGACTTTTAACAACTCGACCAGTACAATTGCACACAACACAATTACACTTAACATACCGGCTTCTACCTTCTTCTACCTGAACGAATTATTCTATACAATTCTTTGTTTCAATAACTATCAGAAATTTTTACCGAAATATTCCATTTTAAATAAATAAAGAATTTATACTGAATACCCATAGAAAAGCATTCGAATTTCTATTTTGGATGTGCCCCCTTTTGTTAGCAAATCTAAAATTTATATAGAAGAATAATTAATATATATTTGAATAGCATTTCATTGGTACTATTTGTAAACATGTGAAAAATTATCAAAACTCTTTTACAACACTATATTATTGAGGTTGCTGGAGCATCCCATAATCAACATGGATACAAGTAATACTTCTTTACAGACTGCACTTAGACTCTTCAAGACTTCTCCAATTCATGGTCTCGTTTTTT